ATTGGGGTTGGGAATTTCAGCAGGGATTGGGATCAGGGAGAGCCGAGCTGGAATTGGGATGGGGAATTCCAGCCAGGATTGGGGTTGGGAATTCCAGCTGGGATCGGAAATTCCGTCCGGGATTGGGGTTGGGAATTCTGTCTGGGATTGGGACTGGGGAGAGCCGAGCTGGAATTGGGATTGAGAATTCCAGCCGGGATTGGGGCTGGGAATTCCAGCCGGGACTGGGGGTCGGGAATTCCAGCTGGGATCGGGGAGAGCCGAGCTCGCAGCTCCCCCTTCTGTCCGGAGCCCTCTGGAAGATTTTTCCAGCTCTGGTTTTGGCAGGAATTTGGGATGCTCCAGGCAGAATTCCCACAAAATTCCTGAGGCTCGGGAAAGGAATTCCACCTGAGAAGAAAGAATCTCCCGAGGGAGGCAGAGCTGTGGTTTGGGGGAGGAGTGGGAAGGGATTTCTTGGGAAAAAGGGATTTGGTTTTGGGAAAAAGAATTTGATTTTGGGATAAAGGGATTGGTTTTGAGGGAAGAAAAGGATTCTTTTTGCGATAAAGAGGTTGTTTTTTAGGGAATAGGATTTTTTGGGAAAAAGGGATTTGTTTAGGGGTAGAAAGATTGGTTTGGGGAAAAAAAAAAGATTCTTATTGGGATAAAGGGGTTCATTTTTGGAGAAAAGGAATTGTTTGGGAAAAGGATTTTTTTGGGATTAAGAGATTGGTTTTGGGAATAAAAAAAGGATTTTTTGTGAATAAGGGACTTTTTGTGGGGAAGAAAGGCCTGGTTTAAGGAAAAAGGGATTTGGTTTGGGAAGAAGGAATTGGATATGGGATATCCAATCCATATCCAATTGGATATGGGATTGGTTATGGGATAACGGGATTTTTTTTTAAAAGGGATTTGTTTTGGGAAATGAAGGATTATTTTTGGGAAGAAGGGATTGGTTTGGGGAAGATGGGATTGGTTTTGGGATAAAGGGTTTGGTTTGGGAAAACTCGAACCCCCATTATCCTGAACCCCCCAGATCCAATCCCACAGGGGGAAAACCCTTGGAAAACATTTCTCCCTGAAACCCCGATCCCAGATTTTGTGAAAAAACAACCCCGTTTTATTGCCCAAAGTACAAAATCCGATTCCCCCGGGAGCTCGGGGGGTTCCCAGCGATCCCAATCCCGCTGGGGGGCCGGGAGCAGCCCGATCCTAACTGGAGACGCTCTGCAGGAGGGTGATGTTGTCCCCCTTCAGCATGATCCGACCTGCAACCAACGGCTCGGGATGGGCCTGTGGGGTGGGAGCGCCCCGATCCCGCCCGGCCCCGCAGCTGGAGCCCAATCCCACAGCTGGATCCCATCCCAATCCCACAGTTGGATCCCAATCCCACAGCTGGATCCCAATCCCACAGCTGGAGCCCATCCCAATCCCACAGCTGGATCCCATCCCAATCCCACAGCTGGATCCCAATCTCACAGCTGGATCTCATCCCAATCCCACAGCTGGAGCCCGGCCCCACAGCTGGAGCCCAATCCCACAGCTGGAGCCCAATCCCACAGCTGGAGCCCATCCCAATCCCACAGTTGGATCCCAATCCCACAGCTGGATCCCAATCCCACAGCTGGATCCCAATCCCACAGCTGGAGCCCGGCCCCACAGCTGGAGCCCATCCCAATCCCACAGCTGGAGCCCGGCCCCACAGCTGGAGCCCATCCCAATCCCACAGCTGGAGCCCAATCCCAAACCTGGATACCAATCCCAAACCTGGATCCCATCCCAATCCCACAGCTGGATCCCAATCCCAAAGCCTGGATCCCTGTCCCAAAACCAGGATTTAAGGTCCCACATCCAGGTTCCAGGACCCACCCCCGGAGTTTTGGGTCCCAGTCCCGATTTGGGGTCCCAGACCCTGATTTGGGGTTCTCTCCCCCTGCCCTACCCAGCTGCTTCCTGGCCTTGGTTTTGGAGTGAATCTCCTCAGCATCGTCCAGCACCAGGTTCATGTACTCGTCAAAGCCCTGCTGAGCAGCACCGGCCTCAGAAACCCCAAAAGACCCCAAAAACCCATACAAAACCCCCCCAAAAAAACCCAAAAACCCACACAAAACCACCCCCCCAAAAAGCCCCCAAACCCCCTCAAAAAACACCCAAAAAAACCCCAACCTCCTCATAAAACTAATAACAAACTCTCAAAACCCCAAAAAACCCCCAAACCCCCCCAAAAAACCCCAAAGCAGAATGGGGCACTCACGATGATGCAGCCCTCAATCCTCATGTTCACCTGCTCATAGAGCCACACCTGGATCCGGGACCGCTGCGGAACGGGAACGGGATTTGGGGTCCAAATGGGATTTGGGGTCAGCAGGGCCCCAAAGGGGTTTGGGGTCCAGGGTTTGTCCCCACCCCAAATCTGTCTGCGGTCACCCCTGTGTGGGGTGGGACTGTCTGGCGTGTGAGGGGTTTGGGGGAATGGGGTTAAACGGGGTTTGGGGGTATGAAATGGGATTTTGGGGTAATAAAATGGGATTTTTGGGTGGGGTTTGGGGTTATAAAATGGGGGTTTTGGGGTATAAAACAGGTTTTTTTGGCATTATAAAATGGGGGTTCTGGGGTATAAGATGGGGATTTTTGGGGTTAAATGGGTTTTATGGGGTTAAAATGGGGAGATTTGGGGTCCCTCCCCCCCAGCCCGCTGCCGGCACTCACGTTCTGCAGGTAGCGGAAGATCAGGTTCTGGGGCCGGGGTTAAGGGCACAGCAGAGCCGGGGGCACGGGGGAAACGCTGAGGGGAACCCCTGAAGGGAACCCGCGGTGGAACCCATAGTGGAACCCGCCATTCCCTTCCCTTCTTCCCTTCCCTTCCTTCCTTCCCTCCATTCCCTTC